GTCATTCATGTGTACACCCAAGTACTTGTAGCTGGAGACCACTTCCACCGCAGATCCTCTTATGTTCAGGGGGGTGTAGGTGTTTTTGTTCCTTCTGAAGTCCACAATCATCTCCTTTGTCTTCTTCACATTGATGTGAAGGTTATTCTCTCTGCACCAGCTCTCCAGGTGTTCCACCTCTTGCCTGTAGCTGGACTCATCATTGTTTGTGATGCATCCCACCACCGCTGTATCATCTGCAAACTTTACAATGTGACAGCCTGGATGGGTAGCTGCACAATCATATGTGAGCAGAGTAAACAGGAGGGGGCTCAACACACATCCCTGAGGAGAGCCAGTGCTGAGGGTTATGGTGGAGGAGGAGAGGTTGTGGATCCTCACTAACTGTGGTCTGTTTGTTAAAAAGTCTAGTACCCAGTTGCAGATGGAGGGGCTTAGTCCTAGTGTGGATAGTTTGTCCATCAGGGTTTGGGGGATCATGGTGTTGAAGGCGGATGTGAAGTCCACAAAGAGCATACGGACGTAAGAGTTTTTCTGCTCCAGGTGGTTGAGCGCAGTGTGGACCACAGAGGAGATGGCGTCCTCTGTTGATCGGTTCTCACGGTATGCATACTGATGAGGGTCCTCGTTGATGTTGATGGTTGTTTTGATGTGAGTCATGACCAGTTTTTCAAAGCATTTAGCGACTATCAGGGTGAGGGCCACTGGCCGATAGTCATTCAGACCAGTCACTGTAGAGCTTTTTGGGACTGGGATGATGGTGGCAGTCTTCAGGCAGGTGGGAACTGTCTCCAGGGTAAGTGAGGTGTTAAAGATGTCTGCCAGCACCTCGCAGAGCTGATCAGCACATTCCTTCAACACTTTTCCAGGGATGTTGTCTGGGCCAGTTGCTTTGTGCGGATTAATCCTCCTGAAGGTACTCCTTACTTCGGCTGAGGTCATGCTGAGATGCTCTTCATCCGGTGGTGAGGCGAGTCTGGTGCTGGGTGGTCTGTTCGGGTCTTCAAAGCGTGCATAGAACTTGTTGAGGGCATCAGACAGAGATGGGTCTTTGGGGCATTGTTCACTCCTTCCTTTATAATCTTTTATGCACTTATTGCCCCTCCACATGCTCCGAGGGTCTTGTGAGATGAATTGACCCTCGATCCTCTGTGCATATGTGGCCTTGGCCTTCTTAATACCAGCAACCAGCTCTTTTCTTGTCCTACTCAGCTCCACTGAGTTTCCAGACCTGAAGGCAGTGTTCCTGGCTTCCAGCAGGGTACGCACCTCTGCATTCAGCCAAGGTTTTCTGTTTGGGTAGCTTTTAACATTTCTGATAGTGGAGATGGTGTCAGTACATGTACTAATGTAACCCAGAACTGAGGATGTGTATTGGTCAAGATCAAGCAAACCTCCATTTTCAGCAGCTTCTCTGAAAACCTGCCAGTCTGTTCGGTCAAAACAATCTCTCAGTATGGGTCCACTGTCCTGGCTCCAACATTTAACTTTCTTTTGTACCGGTCTGGAGCGTCTCAGCGGGGGCATGTAAGCAGGAGCCAGGAAGATTGAGATGTGATCTGACAGTCCTAGATGTGGGCGGGATTTGGCTTTGTATGCATCTTTTACGTTCGTGTAAATACGGTCCAGCTTCTTGTCTCCATAAGGAGTATAAGGATGAAGGAGGTCGGAGAGGTATGACGGTGCAAGGCCATTAACACACTTAAATGTCAGCAGAAGAATCTTAAAATCAACTCTGACATGCACAGGAAGCCAGTGAAGGGAGGACAGAACTGGAGTAATGTGCTCAAACTTGTGAGTTCCTGTTAGTAGCCGAGCTGCAGCATTTTGGACAACCTGGAGACGTGAGAGAGAGACCTGACTGACCCCAGCATAAAGCGAGTTACAGTAGTCCAGCCGGGTTGTAATAAATGCATGGACTAATCTTAGAGCTACCTCTTAGTTACTGCTGTGTTCAGAATCATCACTGTGACTGAAGTGTGTAACTGTTTTTGCCATGTTAACCACCCTTTCTTTCTCTAGCTCCACTGAAGTCTTTGAGGGAGGTTCTGTGTGTTTCTGGTCTGGACCTGCAGAGACTCGCTGGTCTGTCCCAGTCTGAGGTCCAGGATGTGCTTGTTGCCGCAGCCTCTGTCTGCAGAAGACGTCGTCCAATCACAGGTCAGAATGGTTTGATGATGTCATTCTTTGATGTCATGCTTTGATGAATGACAAACTTTATTTTTGCGTGCTCAGCCCTGCAACTGCAGCAGGCTGACCCTCGTGGATTCGAGTCTGGCCTCAGGCTCAGTGTTGGCTGTCCAGTTCTGGACCAGCTGCTCAGGGGGGGTCTGCCTGCAGTGGGCGTAACCGAGCTGTCCGGACAGAGCGGGGGCGGAAAGACCCAACTGGGCCTGCAGCTGAGCCTGACAGTGCAGTATCCCCGAGAGCACGGAGGTCTGAGCTCAGGTCAGTGAACGCATAACCAGATAGCACTCCATTAGTAAACACATTATGGGAAATACACAGTAAGTGAACACAACACCAAATGATACAGCATTAATAAACACATAACCAATGGGCTGCACGACGGCTCAGTGGTTAGCACTGTTGCCTCACAGCAAGGAGGTCCTGGGTTCAATCCCCGCTTGGACCTGGGGTCTTTCTGTGTGGAGTTTGCATGTTCTTCTCGTGTTTGCGTGGGTTTTCTCCAGGTACTCCGGTTTCCTCCCACAGACCAAAAACATGCATGTTAGTCTGCCTTCAGGTCCAAGCCTCCCTTGTAAAAGAAATCTGTGATCTCAGTGGGATTTGCCTGGTTAAATAAAGGTTAATAAATAAATACACAGTCAGTGAACGCATCACCAGATAACACTGCATTAGTAAACGGATTACTGGGAAATATGCGGGCAAAGAAACGCCTGGTTCTTCCTACAGTTGGATGCTTGTGTGAACTTTGTTTCAGGAGCGCTGTATATCTGCACTGAGGACCCGTTTCCCATCAAGCGTCTACAGCAGCTGATCTCAGAACAGCCGGCGCTGCGCTCTGATGTCCCTCCATCTTTGATCAGCAGGATTCGGTTCAGTGACCAGGTCTATATCGAGCACACAGCTGATCTGGTGAGTGTTCATCCTGACCCAATGTCAGATCACAGGTTTGCAATAATCATAAATGCTTAATGTGATAATTCTCCTTGGATCATCACCTTATTGTGGTAGTGGAGTTTGTGTGCCTGAATAATCCTAGGAGCTATGCTGAATTGCCCCTCCTAAGCTCTCTCAAGTCAGATTGGTCACAGGTGATAGACCAGACAAAGAGCCATTCAGACTACTGGTATGGACAAAGAAGAACAAGAAACTCAATGCCCCTCGGCCAGATATGGGTTACTGGGTCTACCGTACTAGACTTGACCCAAGGTGCAGGTCGGTGCAAAGATGTAGCTGAGACAGTCCAACACGTTAAATCAGGATGTAAGATCCAGACAGGCAGCACATTCATGGAACACCATAATGTACTGGCTGGAATAATATACAGGAACATCAGGAATAATGTACAAGAATGTCACTGAGGCTAGGGAGCTGCTAACTTCAGTGCACCCAAAAGCTGAGACCATATCGCTGCTGAGTGACTGCCTGAATCGGGTCCACATCACTGGATCACCCTTACCCAGTCCTTCTCAAATAGTGGGGCGTGCCCCCTTGTGAGTGCCCGGGGCAATGCCAGTGGGGGTGCATATGACCCTGAGGAACATTTTGCAGCAGGGAGTAGTTTTTATTTTTATTTTTTTCACCATTCTCATTTTGTCAGGGTGCGTTTGGCAACTGTTTGCTCAGATCCGGCAACTCTCAGGTTGACTATTAATAAAGTTATGAACAGATATGACTGCCTGTCGTTTTGTGAGCCATGCTTGAAGCGTGTCGCTTCCCTCTGCTGCTGAGACAGTAAATAAATAACTCCGACACCTCCACTGCTGTTTTTATGACGCTCTGGACGCTTGTCACCCACAGCATGCAGCAACTAAGAGTAAACTCAAAGCGAGAGCGACACCTGCCCCTCTTTTCTATTTTTACCGAAATATCTTTGCTTTTGGACATTTGTTATGATGCGTAACCATAACTACAAGGTTGTTTTTTACAACCGGGAGCAGCCTATTAACATCTTCAAAGCTCAAATAATACCTCAACTACAGCCCCAAATCCCAAATGAGTTGAAAAAGAGTCGTGGATGCAGAGCAGGAGCAAAGAAGAGGGAGAAAGAGAGAAGAATGCAGTTCAAACCATCTCTTCCATCGATCATGATGGGCAATGTGAGATCACTGGGAAACAAGTTGGATGAACTTCAAGCCCTAACAAGGACCCATCCAGAGTATCGGGAATGCAGTGTTATGTGTTTCGCAGAGACATGGCTGCAGGATCATATCCCCGACTCCAGCATTTCCTTGCCAGGCTTTCTGACCATACGAGCATTTAAAGAGTGGCAAAAGGAAAGGAGGTGGGTTGGCAGTGCTTGTGAACAACAGATGGTGTAATCCTGGACATGTTACAGTGAAGCGTCGTCTCTGCAGTCCATATATTGAACTGTTAGCACTAAGTTGTCGTCCATATTATTTGACAAGAGAATTTACTAGTGTTGTTTTGCCAACTCTTTACATTCCACCCAATGCTTTTGCCCGTGTCAAGTCAAGTCATATTTATTTATAGAGCACAATTTAAAACAGATAGACTGTTATCAAAGTGCTTAACACTAAGGGTAACACTGAGAAATAAAAAGCAGTAAGAATATACCATAAAAAATTAAAACAACAGCATTAAAATGAAGACATGGAACAAGATATACTAAATCAACTCACACAGTATGAATGCGTATGTACCAATGCTTTTGCCCGTGTGATGTCATCAGCTCCGAGGTTGCTAAGCTACAGACACAACACCCTAGTGCATTTGTTGCAATATCTGGCGATTTTAATCATGTCTCTCTCTCTCTCTCTCTGCTACACTTCATACATTCCAACAGTTTGTCAGCTGCTCTACTAGAGAAAACAAAACGATGGACTTGTTTTATGCAAATGTCAAGGATTCATACGTTCAATGCTGGACCCGCTGCTATTTGGAACTATTTAGAACCAGAGCCGCTGCATGACCCACGTGACTTCCGCATTCCATTCTTGCAAGAAGTCTATGGGAGTGTCCGAACATGTCAAGTGAAGAAGCAAGCTACGCAGGGCAGAGAGAACTTCCGGGTCAGACCACTTGTCAAAAATGAAATCATGAAAATCAAAATTGAGCGCTCGTTATCCGTTTTTTCCATTTTCGTTTTGTGCACAAAATTGAAAATCGGATTACGATTCGTTATCCGATTTTTCGTTTTGGTTTAATCAACAAAAAATGAAAAAAACAAGTGTGTTTTTGTTTTTCATTTTTTTGTTTCAAACAAAAAAACGAACTGCCTGAATGTGATGGCTATTCTTGTTTCATCATAAGCTCCAAAAAGTTTGAGCCAGAATAGCCTTGTGGAGGAGGTTCTCGACGCACAACAAAACATATGAGCACTCGCGGAGAGATTTCTTGTTTCAAAAGTTTGGCATTTAATTTCCTTGTTGAATTTAACAAAAATATTCTCCGAGTTGACTTCTTACAAATCTCAAAATTTAAACAATTTGTGTGTGGTAAAGAAAACTGTTTCACGTCTCTCTCCTTCACTGCAAAAAAACAACAATCAGCCCGCAGCAGCTGAATTCCCTGTTTTAATCACTGCCCTGGCTGATCCCACTAGGGGGAGCCATAAACAACTAAATAAGAAGAAACACAATAGTTCTTCTGCAATCTGTAATATTTAACGTAGTTTTAAATCAATATTCATCATTTAGCAAATAATTAATTCATTCAACACTTAATGGGCTCCAACATCCCGGCCCCTAATTGTTAACCTTAGCAAGGTGACAATTACAAAAATAGTCAAAAGGAGCCTACCATCACACAAAACATTACAAAATGAGATTTAATTATATATCTATTTTCCCCCTTATTTTAATTTAAAAAAAATTGTCCATCAAAGTTATCCAAAGTTTATCAACGTTTCTAATATTTTAAAGCAGTCCATAGTAACATTTAGAAACTCTTTTCACTCATTCTGCTGCCTCCATTAAGAGACAGAGCTTATCTATTGGTCGTTGGATCACATTGTCTTTGGTTTTTACCAGAACGCTTCTAACAAATCCCTTGGCATCCGGAAAAGTCTTCATAACACGGCCCATTGTCCATGTGCTTCTCGGTGCCGAGTTATCCACAATAACAACCAGATCCCCAGGGCTGAAGTTCCTTTTTTTTCTGTTCCACTTGTTTCGTTCTTGCATGAGTGGGAGATACTCCTTTGTCCATCGTCTCCAGAAAAGATCTGCAAGATACTGTGCTTGTCTCCATCTTCTCCTCGAATATTGATCCTTCTTTTCAAAGACACCTGGTGGTATCATTGTTTTTGCCTTCAGTTGGAGTAAATGATTTGGAGTTAGTGGTTCTAAATCATTTGTGTCATTTGACATTGAAGTTATTGGTCTGTCATTTAGGATGGCTTCTACTTCACACAGTGCTGTTGATAAGGTTTCATCATCCAGTGTTTGCTCTTTCAGGATAGATGTGAGGTTCTTTTTGACAAGAAGTATTAGTCTTTCCCAGACTCCACCGTGGTGAGCTCCAAACGGAGGGTTAAAAGTCCATTTTATTCCCTCTGTTAAAAGGGTGCTTTGAATTTTCTGATGATTCAGTTCTTTTAGAGCTTCTTTTAATTCCTTTTGTGCTCCCACAAAGTTTGTCCCACAGTCTGTTCTGATGCTCATCACTGATCCTCTTCTGCAGATGAATCTGCGTATAGCATTTATGCATGAGTCTGTAGTTAGGAAATTTGCCATCTCCAGGTGAATAGCTCGACTCACCAGACAGGTAAATATGACCCCCCATCGTTTCACTTGAGCTCGTCCCCTCTTTACTTCAATGGGACCGAAGTAGTCAATGCCAGCGGGGCTAAAAGGAGGTAGATCGGGAGACAAACGGTCCTCAGGAAGATCTGACATTTTCTGTTCACCAGGTTTTGCCTGCATGCGTCTACAAAATACACAGCTTTTGATGATTTTCCTGGCTAGGGAATTTGCATGGGGGAGCCAGTATTTTTGACGTAGCCTGGAAAGCATGTGGCTTCTTCCTGAATGTCCAACCAGATTATGAATGTGTTGCAGGATGAGGTTAGATATATGAGAACCTTTAGGTAGAAGGATCGGGTTTTTCTGGTGGGTTGGCATTGCGCTTTTGTTTATTCTGCCACCAACTCTCAAGATGCCATTATCGAGAATTGGATCCAGTTTGAGGATGCTACTTCTTGAACTGAGAGATTTTCCTTGTTCAAGGTAAGTAAATTCACAGTGAAAGTAGCGTTTTTGTTCAAAACAAATGATAGCCTTCTCTGCTTCCTGCATATCCTCCACTGACAGGTTCTGAGTTCCCTGTTTATCTTTCCTCACTTCTGAAGACAGGTGGGTTCTACCTTTTCTTTGTTGACTTAGTAGCAGGAGGTTTTTTTTTTCACTTTTAGTATCCAGGCTACAGACTTCTGAAGTCGGTTCCATGATGAGTGATACTTGATTAGCCTCCACATTGGATGCTGATTTTCCATTATTACACTGTTAACTATGATCTCTTTTCTCACTTCAGGGTCGTTTGCTGGTATTTCCTCCATATTTTCTGTGTTTTTCGGCTATCTTCCTTTTTCTCTGCTGAGATATTCAGGACCTGCCAGCCATCTTGATCTTAGAAAAGGCTCCACATACAGCCCTCGTTATGCGTCGTCGGCTGGGTTGTCCTTTGAGCTTATATATCTCCACTGGTTGGTCTGGGAGAGGTCATGGATTACTGCAACTCTGTTGGATACAAATGTGTGAAATCTTTTAGTTTGATTGTGAATATATTTCAACACAGAGGTACTATCTGTCCAGAAAGTTGAATCTGCAAGTGGTAAATGCAGTTCTTTCTTTAGCATCCAATCCACTTTTACAGCCAATGTTGCTGCTGTAAGTTCCAGTCTGGGTATGGTCATCTGCTTTAGAGGTGCAACTCTGGCTTTTCCAAATATG